CGTAAATAAAAAAAAAAACAAACCCAAAACCTTTTGGTTTAGGTGTGACCTTAAAAGCACACCGTGCCCCCTCCAGCGGGTCTGCAGCAAGGTAAGGCGCGTCAAAGTGCTCGGGCAGCGCCGGGGCTGGAGCCGGGGGAAAGGCACAGGGTCTGTCCGTCCGTCGGGGGATGGAAACCCGGCGTTTCCCGAAGGGTTCCCAACGCCACCTGCCGTTCCTTTCTCCCCGAGCCTGACGGGGACTGTCCCTTGCATTTCCAGCACCCAAGGTCTGCGATGCCTGCAAAAACAAAAACGAAGACGATAACGACATCGTGGAAAACCTCTGCAAAAATGACTTTGGTAAGTGGAAGCAGAGCCCTCTCTGTTGAAACTTGGGAGTTGAGCATCAGGTAAAACACCCGCTGGAGTGAGAGAGAGATGCTCCTGAATAAAGGCAGGGCTTTGTCTTATCTGCAGATGGACCCGTCTGACCGTTTGGTCATGACACACAAAATTCCACCTCGGAATATGAAGTAGCCCTTTTTATAGTCCTTTTCTGTTTGCTGTTTCAAAGTAGTGCTCTTTTATGTGGATGCTGCTGGCAAGCCGAATAGAAAGTAAAAAAAAAAAAAAAAAAAAAAAAAAAAAAAAAAAAAAAAAATCTTTCATCCAGACTATTGCCTGGGGAGAAGTAGAGCAAAGCTTCATTTAGACATATGAGAAAGAGCTGCATGACCAATCTCACGTATCGTAAGAAAGACTCTCTCCGCAGATTAAGAATGAAGCTCTATATATCATTTGACAGAGAAGGTAATGCACAGACAATTGGGGATATAGACTTAATGGGAAGATCTGGGGTTAGAAGAGGACAAGAAAAGCCCCTTCGACACAGACAACTGAACGGCACATTATCCACACATTAGCATTTCAAGAGAAAAAGGGAATAAGGAGGGGAAGCCTTTTATAATAGGTCAATGTTTATACCTGGAAACAGATTTGTGGTATAAATATCTACAACAATTCAAAAATCTTTCTTAAAAAAAAAAAAACCACCACCCAAACCATGAAACTATGACTGTGGGACATAATTGCTAAAACAACCAATAGCTTTGGCCTGGCAAATTGCACTCAGATAAATCCTCCTAAAGCTAAACATGCCCCACAGAATCTTACAGAGCCCTGTATCCCCCTCCTCGTTATTTTACCAAATCGAATGCAGCTGTTGGACCAATTTGCCCTCCACAGGATCTATTCTTTTAAAAAAACAATGCATGTGAAATATCATTTCCTTACAGGTTTGCCTAAAATCCTCTCCAGCCTAATAAACTAAGTTTAGAAGTTTTAAGCCGCAGCAGAGATCAGGTTTCAGATTAGGTCTAGGTACTCAGCTCCCCACCTCCCCTTCAAATTCTAGTTTCAGGAAGACTGTCCTCTCCCAGCAGAAACGGGAGCGCTGCTTAACATAGCAAACCTGCCCTCTCTGTGTTTGCAAACAGGAGAAAAGCCGGAGAAAATATTAATTTAGAAAGGAAGGAAAGAGGGGGGGAGGGGGGAGAGGAGAAAAGAAGCCCAGAAAACCTCAACCCTAAGGTTGATTCAAACTGAAATGACTTGCATGCCCTTTGTGGCTTTAGAAATGGAGCCACCTGCTGCCTCTTCTGTCAGCCCTGACAGTTTAATTAGCAGTAGAGCACCTCCCTCCCCAGGTCCTCTTTATGTGCACTAATGGGAAAAAACCTCTCAATCTCTCTCCCTCTCCCCACTTCCCCCTCCCCTCACTCTATTAGCCTTGAAGATAAAAGTGAAGGAGATTGCCTACATCAATGGGGATACCAAGATCACCCCCGAAACAAAGAGCAAAACCATCTACAAGCTGAATGGGCTGACGGAAAGGGATCTGAGGAAGATCGTGCTCTGGCTCAAAGGTGGCCTCCAGTGTACCTGCGACGAGATGAATGACATCAACGTCCCCTACTTGGTGATGGGGCAGAAGCAAGCTGGGGAACTGGTGATCACCTCGCTGAAGCGGTGGCAGAAAGGGCAGCGGGCTTTCAAGCGGTTCTCCCGCAGCATCCGCAAACTGCAGTGTTAGTGGCTTCCTCCAGCAGCCGCCTCTGTCCCGAGCTCTCTGGGCCTCCTGCACCTTCTTGCTTCGGCCCCTCTGAGCCTCGAGATGCCACGGGCATGAGACACGGTGACCGCTCTCTGAGAGGGGAGGGAGCCCTCCATTTCTGTACATAGGTTAAAATGTAATAAAAAAAAAAAAAATCATGACTATTTTTGGGAAGTATTAAAGTATCTCGCTTAAAGCTTTTTTTTTTTTTTTTTTTTTTTTAAAAATGGTTGCAAACGTGACTTTGGTCTGAGGTTTTTCCCTCTTCATTTTGGTAATGCTGGTTCATTTATATTGCTGCTTCTCTGTATACATGCATGTTTGTTGTGCAAAAGTAGGAGATGCAGAGAAAGACAGCCACGCGTGCGACTGGCCTGTCACACTGGGTACGACTCTTTCACCAAGGTGAAATGGCTTGCCATCTATATTAACACTATAAAGGTCATGTTACGACTCTTGCATGTGATACATAAGCACCAGTAAGAGTATATTAACCATTCTCACATTTTATTTTCCACAAGTCTGAGCCCTTCTCTCAGAACAAGTGAACAAGTTTTGGAGCTGGTTGATCTGAATGCAACATTTTTTTTTTTTATTATTTTGCAAATTAAACCATCTGTAGCCTAACTGTAATATACCTAGTGGTTAACCTGAAAGAGTTGTAAAATATTGCTTTAATTAACCTTGTAAATACTCCAGATAAATGTTATATTCTTGTATATAAACTTTACATCATAGTTTACCCATTGTCTCGGTCTGTATTCACTTTAATCTGCCTTGGGAGAACTGGGAGACAGCTGTCCAACTGGGCTTTGTCATGGCAAAGCAAAATTTGGCCTTCCACCCCAAGTGGCCAGCAGAGAAGCACGAGGAAGCATCTAGTGCTGCAATCAGAAAAAACATAGTGGACCTCATTTCCCCAAAGATGAACCCACGAGACACGGGACTGAGGTTCAGTCAACTCATTTTAATATATGTCTGTTGAGCTCTTTGAGATGAAGAGTTTTCTGTGGCTCCTTTGTTTGACCGCCTGCATTTTCATCTCATCTTCTCAGAAGACTCTGCTCTTTGCTGATATGGAATTGCGATGTCACCACTTGCTTAAAAATCAAATCCATTTATCCATTTCTTCCACTTGAAAAAGACATATTAAGGAGTGCAAGCATAGACTAGACAGAAAAATCTCATTTGCAACTAGCAATTCAGCATAATGATAGAGCAAGGCATGTTTTGTGTGTATGTACACTCACTATTCTTACTGCGAAAGAAAATAAAACCTACCTAATAGTGTAACTAGAGGACTGTTTTCCAGCATTTTTCTTACAAATGTTTTCTCATGAAGAGCATTACCTGCTAGAATTTTACTGTACTTATCCTGAAAAATAGTCTTGCTTCCCAGTGCTATCACACATAAAAAATTCCTCTTAGCTTCGCTGAGAGGATGAGCAGTCCAGTATTCTGAAGGACAATGTTTTATGTTAACCATTCACAGACAGAATATAAATCCAACACTAGATTTTTCTTTAAAGTAAAAAATCACGTTAATTTCAGGTATTTAGCATGATTTTTTTCACCACCAGGATAAAAAGATAAAATCTAAAGATCCAGAATGTTAGATTTGTTTTAGATAAATGAACTATTTGCCCTCTCTCACAGTCATAATGAACTCACTATACAACTGGTACGAACAATGGTAGGGCTCTGACCAAGCAAGACAAGAGCAGTCCTCACAAATCTCCTCAAAAGTATAACAATTTTAAAAGAAAAAAAAAAAAACAAACAACAAACCACCAACCAAAAAGCCCCATTCCAAACTGGCTCTTAATTATTTTGTGTAACAGTATCTTTATTTAAAGGCCAATAGGTTGCTGAAATGTCATTAAAACTTTTCTTCTGAATGGACCTGGCTTCCCAGGAAAGAGATTTGAGTCTTTTCGTGCTATGGTGTAATTATTTTAATACCAGCACCATGTCCACCATCTTACAGAGCCATCAGCATCCAGATGTCACATCGCCCTACCCCATTTCGCTCAGCATATAATGTAATACCTGTCCCTGAACAGCCTTGGTTTTAGAGGGAACAAGCTCACAGATAAAGAGAAGCTGGCTGAAGATGAGCCTGCAGAACATGGGCTTGTGCTGCCTGGTGGGGGAAAGCACTTCAAAGAGGCAGTCGTTGCAATGCAGTCTCTGGGGTCCAAAAACGAACAGCCAGGACTGCTCCACTCAGCCTGCTTTACAGATACCAAGTCCTCCTATAGCAACCATAAAATTATCTTAATTGGGCTTTCCTAGAAGGCAGCAGTACTGATGCTGATGAGGACAGACAAGTCACAAGTTATTCACTCTGGGGTCATGTTAAGGCCAAGACTACATAACAGATTTTTGCCAAATCACTTAGATGTATGAAGACACACTACCTATGGCCAACATCGCTCTGTCTTAAAAAAAAAAAAAACAACATTCCCCTTCCTCCATCACAAAATAAGCACTGTTACACCATCAAAATCCTGTTCCTGTCAGGACAAATTCAGGAGAAGAAGAATAAATTAGACTGGCAAACGTTCAACTTGACTAGTATAATCAACGTCCTGGATTAAGAGCATCCTGCCATACAGCATACCCCTACTGATAAAGCCTTCTGCATGAGGCCCTGGGCTGGATCACTGGGACTATCCATCCTCAGGGTGAACTGGCAGAGGTAGGATTACCTTTCAGATAAGCAGGATTTAGGCAAATGTGAAGAGTAATGGTACTCACATTTTCTCAGTTTAGTTCCATTGCATTGTTCTAACAGTATCGTATTAAAAGATGGGTTGTATTCACCTCACCAAGGAGAGGGATTGTCAGCGTTTGCTACACTATCTGTTTCCAAAGGTGTATAATCTAGATATTGCAAACTATTCAACTGAAAATTAGGATTTTAAAGTCACAGCCTGAGGAAACTTCATCTCTCAGACGCTGGCAAAGAAGTAAACACATAAAGTTTTCACATTTTTACCCTTACTCTTACTGGCTCAACAATAACTGAAAATCTTTGACTGTGCCAGAGAAATAGTGCACCAAACATGTAAGAAAAAATTACCAGAGCCTGTTACTTCTGATCATTGTATCACATATACTTCAGAGTAACTTTATTACCTGGTATGGTATGGTATGCTTCAGTTCTAGCAGAATTTTTTTTTTGCAATTGATGAAAAAAGGCAACACACTGTTGCATTTTTCAGACACTTTTTGTCGTCTTCTAATTAAAACAACATTGCTAGGCAGCCAATTATGTAGCTCCCATTGTATTTGCTTTCATAAAAACTATAAAAGCAGTTGACTACAATGGATTAGTTTAAGAACAATAATAATGATACTTGACATTTATACAGAAGTTTCCATTTAAGTTTCTCAGACTGTCTTCACAAAAATAGGCATTAATATCCCTATTTTGCAGATCAGGAAAATGAGGCACAGTGAAGTGAAATAACTCATTCAAAACCACCCAGCAAGTCCTTTACAGTCATGAAAAGCAGCATATTTTTTGTCTCCAAGTTTCATGCTCTAATCACTAGACCACAGCAATCAGAATGGTGTATAATCAAGGCAGCACTTAGATTATAATTTGAAAGCATAACAGCAACCAAGGCTCCCTCCAACTTCTTCTTCCCCTTCAGTGTGTAAAAAAAAATGACTGCCCAAATTCAAATTTAAAACCCGTCAGCAATATTCCTCACAGTCTTTTCCTTTCTTCCTTATTTATTGTTCTCTCTATCCTTTAATTACTTCTTAATCCTTTCTTTTCTCCCTCACTTCTCATATGCTTCAGACACCCACAGAGAAGCCACTCAGCCCCTCTCTCACCCCTCTCAAACAGACACTTTTGCCCTCGGTATGGTTTATTAAAGAACTCATGCAGTATAACTACACACAAGCCACAAAAATCCTAATGACCAGCTTAAGACATAAAAAGACCCATGCGGGAAATTCAGCAAGAGGCATTTAAATTTAATTAATGATTTTCTGTGAGGACAGGAGGGTTGTTAGATGCCACAAGGAGCACCACAGACACATGCTGGTCACTTCAGGCCCAGCCACTATTCCTATTCTGCAACAGGAGAATATAAGGATAGTTAAAGAATATAGTGAGCATGAAGAATACACAGATAAAGCACACCTTCCCTTGCATGGCCAGGTCTCCCGCACATCTCGGCCCTGTGTTCCCCCACCGGGGCCATGGTGCACCTCTCTCCACTTTCTTCCAGATGTCTCACTACCTCTCTTCAGCCATCGAGGGCATCAGCCAAGAGCAGAGCCACCGTGGCTCAGGAAGGGACTGCCTCATCGTCCCCCAGGTGCCTGCTGGGGCATGAGCGACCCCCATGCAGCCGGCAGGGCAGCCCCTTTTTTGCTGCTTCTGCGACCTGCTGCCATCCTCACCAAACCTACCGTCCCTGTGAGCCCTTGTGATGTGCCCACAGCTGATGACGCCAGAGGAAGGGTGATGGAGTGATTGCTACCAGAGCAGTAGGCGGCCTTCCTTAGGTCGGGCAGCCCAAGGTTTTGTTATTGGAGCCAGAAGTTCTTATTTCTAGGCTTCAGAGACATGCCTGTATGATTTATCTAGAAGTTGCTTTCTTATCAGCAAATGTAGATTCAGTACAGCCTGACTGTCTGATGAAACAACCACAGGAATGGATCTTGTTTGCCTCTGTATGAAGAGGAGAGTGCAAGATATTCACATCACAGGAATCCAAGACCCCAAGCTGTCTTACAAACATAAATTAGCCTACACTATATCCCTTTGGGGTGAATTTAATAGAGTAACATTTTCCAAATGCATCAACCCCCTTCAGGGTGAGCCGTGGGCTCCTAAATCACCTAGATGCCTTGGAAAATATTAGCTGCTATCCCCCACCAGAGTTAAAGCCAGTTGGCCGAGGTCAGCCAGCAAGCCTGTCACCCAGCCAGGAGGAACACCTCAGCCATCAGCCAGCCAGCCCATCGCTCTCACGACTGATCAAAATAACCAACCAACGCAGAAAGCTGTACCACGAAGCAGCTGATGGAGCAAACTTCAAAACCAATTACTGCACACACAGAGAAGCCGTCCGGCCAGAAAGACCAGCGCAAGCTAGGAGGTATGCTCAATGTCTTACAGAACAGATAAAAGAAATAACATATATACCTTCTAAGACCCACGATAAGGCAATACTATTAATGCAGCTCTTTCAAAACCCAAACAATGCAGAACATCCTTTTGGAGTAATTTTCAATCCGTGAAGACGATGCTAAAATCATGGAGTATTTTCTGTTTGGATACAACAGATTACCATTAGAGTCACAGCCCAAACTAGCAGCAACTCGCAGACTTAGGAGCAACCTGAAAGGGCAGCAGAAATGATAATTTAAGCACACTTTCAACTTTCCAGGTCTTTGTTTTCAGAGCTTAACCCTGGCAGTCTTTGTTAGACATTAAACTTGCCACATGGAGCCACTGTGGAAGAACAAGTTAAGAGTTTTGCATTGATACCTGCTTTTATCAGGCAAGAGATAACTAATCCTTCCCTGGCAATTTCCCTGCATTGTTAGTTTGCTTCAAATCCCTAACATTGTCTAATTGCCTTTTTTGTTATGTGAATCTCCAGCCACGCACAATAGTGAACCCTGGCTGCTTACACACTGAGACAGGTGCTTTAGTGGCTGCAGGGCTCACATCATTAAGCACACACAGAGCTATTAATCATTTCAGTTTAC